ATATATATATATATATATATACGTAAGTTATTTCGTTGTAAGTCATCACAACGTCGTGTAAAGACATATCGATGTGCTAGAAGGAGGCAGCGTGGTTGAGACTTCACGCTATATCAAAAAAGAAAACTGTCTTTAGAGTTAGAAAAACTGTTCTCTTAGAAAACTAGAGGACACTCTACGGATCTGGTCAGGTCAAACTAGAAGCATCCGGAAACGGCTGCGGTGTGCTACAAGTAGACTCGGAACGCAATGGTCGTCAACACCATGGCAGATCGCGCCAGAACATGTATACGTGATCAAACACCTTACGCAACCGCTACTAGGTAGACCAGCAATGGAATCGCTACACATCTTTGCGCAGGCTAATCTGTGCAGCATGGAGTCTGAGCAACCAAGCGATCTCTCGAAGTACAAGAAGCAGTTTACAAAACTCTTTACGGGATTAGGAAAACTCGAGGGAGCGTACAGAATCGAACCGAACGAGACGCGAAACCTTTCGCGATCTCTACGCCTCGAAACGTCTCGCTACCACTTATGTCAAAAGTGAAGGAGGAGTTAGCGCGCATGCAAAACCTGGGAGTGATCGAACCGGGAGACACCCCTACAGATTGGTGCGCTGGCATGGTCGTTGTACCGAAAGCGAATTCGGAAGGCGTCCGCATATGCGTAGACATGCAACGATTGAATAAAGCATTCATGCTACATTGCTACATCATGGGGAGAAATACAGAAGGCCAAGGAAACATCACAACATCAGGCTGACTTCAACTTTCACCATGATCCCGAGGCGACAAGCATCGTTCTTAACGAGTTGGAATGCCCAATCACGCAGGACGGCTGGGAAGTGACACTGCGAAACATTATATCCTGGGACTGGTTTGACGAGGCTTGCGAGACGGACACACAGGCACTTGGAACGTCTAACAAAGGCAAATAAAAACGAATGTATTTACTACCGAAGTCTTAATGTTTCTCTACTCTCCTTCGCCTATTATTGCCGATAACCTGCTTTAAATGCCGTTTAAATGTTCTTCTACAACACACAAGTACACCGCACGCACGCCCTGTGCAAAAACAACAAGAATAATAGTTTTTTCTGCATTGAACGGCATTTACAGCACGTTATCGGCAATAATAGGCAAACGAGAGTAGAGAAACATTAAGACTTACATAGTATGGTAGTAAATACATTTCGTGTTTATTTTCCTTTTTTTATTGAGACGTTCCAAGTGCCTGTGGGCGGACACTCCTGAGGCGAGATTCCTGTGACTCATCCACGACAAGCCCGAAGCGTTTACCAGGAAGCGGGAGTGGGGCTTCATTCAGTGCAACCAGTCGGCGATGGCGGTCGCTCTGGACGACGGTGTCGCCACCGGCTGGCACAGCGAATACGACCCGGTCGAGCTAAACGGTAAATGCACTAGAGGGCAGATGGTGATCGACTTCCAGAAAGTGTTGAAGCGGGAATACAACTGCAGAATGGTGACAAAGATTGACCTCAACTGCCATTTTGCTAATATATATTTTGTGTTTTTACCCACACTATACACGTTTGTATACTAAAATGACCTTAACCAAATTGATTTGTAAATACGAGGCCTACATTGTGATCAGAATTTGGGAGATGACCCTTTTTTGACTTTGACCGGTCGCGCCGTTTAAGGGGACACTATCGCCTAATGCAAATAGGCTTGGTTTAGCTTAAGGTTTAGTTAGATACGTGATTCAGCTTTTATAAGTTTCATCATTCATAGTTCAATGTCACAGTTAGTTTAAAACTTAAAGGAACACTCGGCTCAAGGGGAGATGTAATATTAATAACAGCTAGCGCCATCTAAGCATAGCTCTTGGAACTATTAGCCTCGTTCTGAGGTTATAAGGGAATTCCATCATGGCTGTCTGCGTCTGAGTATTTCAATAATAAATCTGATGTTATTTGACTTGTGCTTTAATCATAGTCTTTCCGGTACAACATAACAAGATCGTTGTCGCATGGTTCGTTTCCGTGGCTTCATATACTTGCGTGATCCGGCAGCGTTTTGCCGTAGTGAGAATTAAGCGAGTGCGATTTAGTATTTACAAAGCGCGAGGAGCGAAAAGCACACACGCGCGCGGCAAACTGTGTTGACGCTGAAACATAGTCATGATCATGCAGAGAACGAGATAGGATGATCAGGACTGTACGTCATGATCAGACAGTCAGGAACAGAGTCCCGAGTCATGATTACGCGCGTGATGACACAATACTATAACGAACACGCCATGCTTTATACTGACGAATAAATACCAGAGGAAGGAGGAGGATGAGGAGGAGGAAGAGGAGGAGGAGGGGAGGGGAGGGGGGTTACGGTCACAACCTAGCCTCGGCTAAGGTCGTTGATGCTACCAGTAGATCCGCATCCGCATCCGGGCTACTTTTGTTATTTGGCGTCCGCGGCTTTGCAGAAATAATGAGATCACCTTGGTAATGCGTGATCGTGTGACCCTGCAACAGCGAGTAAGAAAAACATTTATTACCGGCGAAAAGTAACTAGAGATGCATTGATTACTGTCCGATTCGTCTAAACAAGTAGTTAAGCATAACAGCAACGAACAGCATAAGATGCAAAAATAATATGCGTAATAGTGCGTATAATTATTGGCATCGTCCGTATGCATATACTCGATAGTGTTTCATCATCGTTATATCGCTATATTAAATATAGGGTATGAACTGCCGTAACCCCATTGAGGATTATGATCAAGCTTTGTCGCAAACCTGTTGTCGGTACTTTTGTCGGGTCCAAACAAAACTCGGATATTTTTATCAGCGTGGTGGGATCACGGTGGACGTTAATTCTGTCTACAAAGTTAAACAAAAATTTTATTCAAAATGACCGAAAAGACCAGGAGGACCAGACTGTCGGGGTGTCTCCCATATTTGGCTTGCACCTACTTGTGTTTTAGTTTGCTGTCGATTTTCGACTGTTAGTTGACCGGGACAGTCCTCGTCCTAAGGCATTCACTCGAACTAATTTAGTATTAATTCGAAAGTCTTATGTTCGAATTAAGGAAAAGGAATGAATTTTGCACAGGGGAGAGATAGTGAGCCGCTAGGGGACGGCTCTGATTGGCTAATTTTGTTTCTTATTTATTTTATTTTTTATTATTTTTGGCTAATTTTGTTTTATTTTAGAATTAGGGATAGGGTTAGGGTTAGGGTTAGGATTAGGGTTAGGGTTAGGGTTAACTGATTTCTATATCCACAACTTATTTCTATATTCACTATCTCTCCCCTGAGACCTACTAAAAAGGAATTAGTCACGGAGAGGAGAATGTGTTAGCGTGTCACATTGTAAGCTTTGGCTGTTTAAACGTATCGGGGAAACGCACCGACTCTAGCACAATAGGTGAAGTGCAAGTTGATTAGTGAAATAATTACAAAGTGCAGGTGCAATGATTAAAATATAATTAGGCAAAATAATAATTAGGCAAATAACACAGTAGATACTGTATGTTCCCTAACGAATTATTGGTGTGTTACGTGGGGTTGTTGGTTATTACGGGAGTTTGTTTAGATGGGACCGACAGAGTTACACCGTTTTACTTGTTACATATATATAAACCATTAATATTTAAAACATCAAGCAGAGCAGCAATATAATTAAGACTGATACACATTACTGATACTAACCTCTGCTGTAGTATTATAATGTTATGATATAATGTTATGATATAATGCTATGATGATACTAACCTCTGCTGTAATATTATAATGTCATGATATAATGCCATGATGATACTAACCTCTGCTGTAATATTATGATGTCATGATATAATGTCATGATGATACTAACCTCGGCTACGGAGTTGTACGTAGAATAAGAACGGCTGTATTTTCTCGATCTGTTTATTGATAGACCGAGCTGGTGACGTTCCCAGTAAGTCCTGATCGTTCTTCTCACCTGCAAGATACAGCACATCTATTGTCATACCTATCTACATCGCATACGCGTCTATTGCTATACTTCTCTTTACCTATACATAAATATCAATCAGGAAATTGCTTGGTTGACCGACCGATTGACTGAGAACCGTCCAACTTCGAAAATACTTTATGGATTTCGGAACAACCTTTGAATAAATTAAATAAAATGCGGTCGGGTTGTTTTCGTATATAAGCAGAGTAGCACATAAACGGGGGAAGAATTAGAAATAGGAATGACTATAAAGCATACAAAAATACCCAGTGAAAAAACAGCGCAACCAACGAGACAACCAAATTACAAAAATCAAATGACAGAAACCGAATGAAACGACCAAATAAATAAATGACGCAATCGAATACCACAATCAACGGAAACAACCACAACAAAAGATCATTCTCTGCACGAATTATACCTCACAATATAATAATAAAATAAAATAAATAAATAATAAATAACATAATTAAATATAAAAAATATTTATTCCGCGGTTAAATTGTGTATAACAAGACATCTGATTAGGTAAAAGGAGATATAATGTTACCGAGGTTAGATAATTTTTGACCGCGGCAAATTTAGGAATAGTTATTTCTGGGTACGATGGCCAAACATAGACGTGATGCGATGACGTCACGCTGCGATCAGACGGATGTACCGACACGGCGCGGTGTTTGTAGAAGTGTGTGTGTGTGAACCACCACCACACCGCTGTTTTCACAGATGCGCGCAAGTTTGGGATAATATATGATGGGGTATATATAGGACTTAGTACTATCCTGTAGTGAACATATTCTATCCACTACCCCTACCTATCTTTAGGTATACTAGGGTTTATTTCACTATTCCTCTGCCCTATACTCAATAGCGCCGTGGCTCACTGGGGCTATATCGCGGTTGATTGTGTCTCTGGGTGTTGGTCTGTGGGTGTGTTGTCGTGTAGTGTGTGTGTGTGTGTGTCTGTGTGTCGCTGCCGTGTCATTTGGTGTTCGTGTTGTGTGTGTGTGTTGTGGTGTTTGTGGCTGTGATGTGTGCGCGCGTGCGTGCGTGTGGCGTGGGTGTTGCGTGTGCGGCGCGCTTTGTGGTGTGTTGTGCTGATGTGCGCTTTTGCGCCGCGTGTCGTGTGTGCGTGCGTGTCGTGTGTGGTTTGTCGCGTGCGTGCGATGTGTGTGTGCGGGTGGCGTGTGGTGCAGAGCGTGTGCGTCTGTGCGTCGTGCGCGTGTGCGTGCGTCTGATGAGTGGCGTAATTTGTTGTGTGTGTCGTGGTGGCGTTGTGTTGTGCGCGCGTGCGTGGGCGTGTGCGGTGCGCAGCCCGCGGTTGTGTGTGTTGTTGTGAGCGTGCGTGCGTGCGGTTGTGTGAGCGTGGTCTGCATGCGTGTGTGTGTGTGGTGAGCTTTGTGGGCCCGATGCAGTGTGTCGTTTGTGTGGTGCGTGCCTGATCTTCCGGCACAACTACCAGCTATCAGCGTCATTTACCAGCCATGTATGCAGTCTTTCGTTGAAGATTTTCGTTCCCATCGCATTGACCGCTCCATGGATTTGCCCTCGGTCCCGTGTCTTTGTCAAGACTCAAATTTCGCTGTGGCTAATAATTAGTTTCCAATTTACATGAAGCGTTATGATCCGGACCACTCTTTCTCTGTTATGCGGGATGTAGCTGAGTGAAGCTAGGTTCGTTGTAGTAGAGGCCGCCGTGAGTGAACAGCGTACGTGTTGTGAGCGTCGCGTGAGAGCGTGCGTGAGATCGCGCGTCGTGTGAGCGCTGAGTGAGTGTTGTGTTGGTGTGTGTGTGGTGTGTGTGTGTGTGTGTGTTTGTGTGTGTGGCTGTGTGTGGGTGTGTGTGTGTGTGTGAGCTAGTAGTGAGAGCGCGCGTGACAGTGTAAATTCCGTTCGTGTAGTTTTCTTGTACAGCAATTGTTTTCTATTTAGTATATCGGCCGTTCCAAAGGTATGGTACGCGTGTGTATATTAAACGCCGTGAGAGTCCAGAGTATATCTATAAATACTATATAATATATATATATATAGACGAGAGAGAGAGAGAGAGAGAGAGAGAGAGAAAGAGAGAAAGAGAACGAGAGAGGAGAGAGAGAGAGAGAGAGAGAGAGAGAGATTCTTTATCGCGGTGTATACGCTAAAACGATCTCGGTAGCACTCGTACGATACGTATGCTATGACAAGATATCGCTTGCAACAGCACCTATTTAACGAGAAAGAGTATATGTTCGTTTATCTGTTGCACAAGCGGCGGCGTGGTCGGCGGTGCAGTTATTAAAGTGATAATCGTCCTTCTGCCGCCATCGTCATTGTTATCCGGACCTCTTCACCGCGACTCGCAATAAGGTACTCTAATTCGTCCTGACATGTGGTGCTCATCGCCTCGTGAGCGACCCGCGTTTACAAGCGCTGCTGGCTCGCTTGCGCTCCCCTTGCTTCGCTGGCTTTCTGCTGCTATTCTGCTGCTTGCTCAGTTGACGGTGCTAGTACTTTGTTGTTTGAGCTGCGTGCTGGTTGGGCTTCTACTCACCTTGCTGGCTTTGCTGTTGTTGTATCGTTGTTGCGTCTGGTTGATTGTCTGTGTCTTCTCTGCTTGGTTGTTGGGTCTGCTTGTTTCGTTCGTTGTGTGCTTCTATTACGGTTGATGCCCTGCGCCCCAGCGCGGCGCTCCAGGCCGTCTTGTTTGTGTTGTGGTTCGTGCGTGTGAGTGTGTGTGGTGATTGCTGTTTGTAGCTGTAATGTCGACAGCGCCTGTGTGGTGTCGCTTTGGTTTTGTGTGTTGTGTGTGTGTCGTTGTCGTGTGTGTAGTGTGTGTGTCGTGTGTGTGGCTGTGTATGCGTGTGATGTGTGCGGTGTGTGGTCGTGTGTGTTGATGGGTGCTGTGTGGTATGTGTGTTTCCGTGTTGTTGTTCGACGCGTGTGTGTGTTCTTGTGTTTGCTGGCAGTTGATGTGTGTGTGTGTGTGTGTGTGTTGTGTGTTGTGTGTTTGTGATCGTGTGGTATTGTGTGTGGTGGTTGTTGGACTCGGGGAAGGCCTCTAATTAAGGCGCTATAATGAGCGACAAGGCTTCTTTCGTTTATGTTTAGGTCCCCCCGCCTGGGCCGCATATGAGACGACGCTAATGCGGGTTCTCTGCCCTGTAGTGAATTGACACCAGGTGCACGTCACGGCACGTGCTATTTGCCTCACGAGTCACGCATCGCACACGGAACACACATACATCTATCACACAGGGCACATCCGTAGCATCACATTCTCACACGTATACGATTACGTACACGCACGGGCACACACACGCAGGCGACGTTCACGGAGCAAACACACACAGGCGTTCTTGCGGTTCCACATTACGATACATCCATCATCACCGTTTTCTTCTCGTTGCACGCACGCACAGGGCTTGGTGCGACCGGACGCCCACGGTCGCGTAGCCTGTCTCGATCGCGCCGTAGCCCTCTGATCGCACGCGTCGCATACACGCGTTTGCCGTTTTTGTCTCCCTGGTTTTCGCTCCCTTTTTCACACGAGGCACGCACGCACGGCAGCACACCATACGCACGCATAACTGCCACGCCTAGGCTTGCGATGGCACGCTGCGTCACAGTCTCTGCTCTCGGTCACCACATCGCACGCACGACTGGCACGACACGTCACCGCTAGCGCACACACAATCCACGATACTGACACAAACAGTCACGCAGTGCTGGTCACACTAGCTAAACATGACTACATATGCATAACACCACAACGCACTGCACGCGTACGCACGCCGAGTTCTTGTCTTTTCTTCGACGGCACGCATCTGGCACGCTACCGCTGCTTGCGCCTTGCACTTCATTTTTTTGTTTTTTTCAACAAGCACACACATTTTATTTTTCCACACAGGCACAGAACACAGCGCACACACAACACACGCGACACAGACAGACACACACAACCCCACACACACACCATCTGCACTACACACACAGTTTTGTCTCTATTCACCACGACAGCATCACATACAAATTCCTCCATCGTGGCCGCTTCGCGGAAGTAGGAAAACTGACTCGCTTGGCCATACGGAAAGGTCACTGTTTTTTTATGCCTCGGAGTGGGAACCATAGCATGACAGCATGCACACGAAACGTACAGGCTCTTAGTTGGAATACGCTTACCGCGTGGGAACGCTTCACGCGATGCCTACTGTGCATTTGCACCCATCATGCGAAATACGCTACGCAGGCGTCTCTACGGCTACATGGCTATTTCCTGGTAGATAACTGCACTTGAATTTCACTTTCTATCATTGCGACTCATGTGTTTGTCTTTAGTATCAGCACACGATTCACATATCGTTGAAGTTTCAAGGTAGCATTCCAAAATAGAAACAGCTGGTACAGAAGGCGGGCCTCGCAACAAAGTTCTGTTTGTATTAAGAATGTTAAAACATACTTATGCATTAAAATAAGATGAGTCTCGGCTATACGTTTTTCAAACACCCCGGGGCCCAATGAAACAATTTATGTAATGAAACACACAAGGAGAAAGGTAGACGTTAATGTTTAACTACGGCGCCCTTTATTAAATTAATACTGTTTCGCAATGGCGCATTGTGTTATCGCTCGGGCGGAACTACATTCGTCATGGGTGGGCCGTCGTGGCGACGGACCACACGCTGCGCATGCTGCTGCTGCTACTGCTTCTGCTCGCCTGCTGCTGCTACTGGACCGTGCTGCTGCTGCTCGCTTCGCGCATCGCTGTCTGGGCTATGTCCTGCTCGCTGCTAACTGCCTGCTGGCTGCTCTGTTGTTGGTTGTTGGTTAATGTACGTGTCGCGCGGCGCGGTGCCATGTTGTGTATGTGCAAGGCGGTGCGTGCGTTGCGTGCGTGTGCTGTGTGTGTGTATGTGGTGATGTGTGTGCTGTGTGTGTGTGTGTGTGTATGGGTATGTGTGTGAGTGTAGGTGATGGTGTGTGCTGTGTGTGTGAGTGTGGGTATGTGTGTGTCCGTGTCGTTTGTGTGTGTAGTGTGTGTTGTGTGTGTGTGTGTGTGTGTGCATGGTATTGTGTGTGGGTGTGTATGTGTGTTGTTGTGTGTGTGTGTGCTATTGTGGGGTGGTGTGTGTGTGAGTGTGATCAAGAAGGAAATTAAGCCTAACACAGCAAGTTCTTCTTCAGTGCCTATCCCCCCCCCGCCATGATACACGGCGAAACGCTCTCTGCTCGTAGGGAAACACATGCACGCACCGCACGCAGCACACACACCACGTACGCTACGCACGCACGCACGCACAGCGCGGCCGCGCGGCACACAGAGCACCAGTCCACAACAGTCACACACAAGTCACACGACACAGCTGCAGCCCGTCTTCCCTATGTTACACACAGGCTTGATTGATCGGGACGCCAGCACATCACATCACAGTTCACACGACACATCAGCACGCTACGCACGCACGCACAGCACGCGCGCGCGCACACAACACACACCACAGTGCACACAGCACGCCACACACAGCCCGCAGCCCACAACAACGCACACAGCTGAGTCACCACACACACACACACACACAACACACACACACCGGACAGTCACACACACATCCACACCACACAACCAAGCAACACACACACACACACACACAACAAATATATCCCATATTCATGTTTGTCATCAGGTTTTGTGCACATAAAAGCACGGCCCCCTAGTGGGTAAAACGACTCGATCGTGCATATGAAATGCACTGCCCTTTTGTGAAACCCACGCAAACACATAGAAAATCGTCACTGCCTCCGTAGTGGATAGCAGGCATTACACACACATGAAACGTGACGGCTCCTTCGTTGGAACCAGCGTGTAAACCCACCGCGAGTAACCCAGCGATGCCACCGCACCATAGCGAAATAAGCCTACGCCAGACTACTCAACTTGCAATGGCTATGCCCTGGTAGGATAATGCCACTTGAATTTCTACTTTAGTCAATGCGATCTCATGTTTGTCTTTAAGTATCAGCACCACGATTCACCTTATGTTGAAGTTTTGGTAGCATTCCAAAATAGAGGCACATGCTTTGGATAAGCGGACGCATTAAATTTGTTTTTATTAAAAAATTAAAACATAGGCGTTAACACGAGAGCAAGTTCTCGCGACTCGACCCCTCCGTTCGCGATACTGCAGCAAATTTAACAGTGTTACGCCGTGTGTTTCGTGTTTAGACACGCTGGCTAACGCTTCTAACTCGCTTGTAAAAAAAGCCTCTCAATATTCGTTGTTATTTGTAAGGCGGAAAGTGTTTAGAGCCGAAACGAGAGTATTGTGTCAACATAAAGGACGTCGTTTTAGGTGACTGCTGACTTTGTATTGGCATTCCGGAGTTAGCGTGATACCACTGCCGCTTGCCGAACATATAAACACACACACGCACGCACACGACGGTTTACGCACGTCCTTCCGCACGCTATCGCCCGCAGCGCGCCGACCATGCACGCACGCACAGTATGGCGCACCGCCACGCTACGACACTCACACTGACAGTGTCGGACCCTCACGCACACGCGCGACCACACATCACACTGCGCGCCGCCGCACTACCCCACACACACAAACGTCACGCCAGACGGACACTTTACACACAGACACACCCCCAGTTCCACACACACACACACCACATTGTTAACACACACACACACACACACAGCAAAACATACACGCACAACACCAATCACAAACCACACAACACACAACATGCACACACACCCCACACACACACATGCCGCTCGCGCACGCACGCACGCACGCACGCACGCACGCACGCACACACACACACACACACACATACACACCTCTTCGTTGAGGAAGCAGTAGGCGAGAGATATGAAGAATCCTTGGAAGGCGACAAGGAAGTGAACACCGAACGACCAGACCGCAAAGAGAATGATGTCCTTATCCAGTGGACCCGACATGGCCTCCATCCCGTTAATGATTCCTGGTCCAAACATGAAAGAAAACATGAATATCGATTAGTGAGCTAACCGATAATAAATCAGTTATGAATCAATAAAAAATCTAAAGTCCACGTGCACGATGGGTAATAAATCAATTATAAATCAATAAAAAAATCTTGTGAGTTTAGTGAATTACATGAATCATGTGTCAGGAATCGTAGGCACCGCGCACCGACCCAACTAATGATCCTATTTGAAAAAAAATCTATTGACTGATTGCGAGTAATTAAGTAAATAAATGTTAAGCACACGCACGCGCACACACGCGCGCGCGCACGCACGCACACGCACACACGCACACACGCACACACGCGCACACGTATATATATATATTATACATATAATATATATGTAAACCTATTGTAAAATTCATTCATCCACCCCTATCATTGTACCATTAGTCTTTCTGATGATAATATCGAGAGAAGGCGATGTAAACGTGTAAAGCACATTTGCCTGAACAATATTGAATATAATATATTAAAAACATTGAATGCATGTTATCATTGTAGTGCTCATGATCTAAAATTATGGGCTACATCTACATGTTTTACACAACGTCAATGATAATGATAAATGAGAAGTACTTTACCGAGTAGAGGAACGAGAACTATTGCTGCCTTGACAGCTTTTCTGAAAAAAATAAAAGATGACATGAATTAATGCATGCAGTTTCAATTTCTCTTTTTGGGGTTTCAATACGTGATATTCATGGACGATAGATTACGTTACAGTCGTTAGTGTTCGCGATAATCGCATAATTCATGGAAAGTGGTTCCGGGACGGTTGCGATTAAGGTTTTGCATAATGGATGACTATCAATAGTATACGTATGTATAGCTGCGTTACTTGCATTTCTCTTTATAGAGTAGGCAAAACTGTTACCGATCAGTTCCCACTCAAGCCAGTAAAATTTAAATAAAACAGAACTTTAAATGCGCAGTAGAGTAATGCAGTGGATAAACGACATTGTTGATTCTTCCTGTAATAATAAGTACTGTATGGTTGGTTTTCTCTGTATCGATAGAATATGAAATGCTGAAAACGAACGTATTACAAATTGAAACTTTCGTCACCTATAGATGGCGCCACGAGACATATTTCCTTTACGGATCCGCTATGAGTTATTTTTGACTGTCGAGTATATTAATATTAAATATTATTAGAGCAACTGACCAAAATCCGGTCAACAGTTTCAGAATCTAGAGGCATGACCTCATTACTGAAGACTACGTACTACGTTAGGAAAGTTTGAAATCTAGAGATAACCTCATTTAACTGCAGACTGTCAAGCCTTATGTTATAGTGGTATAGTTGCTTACTTTTGCACTTTAATGTTGCGTTTCATTTACTTGGTTTTACACGACCAACCTTTACCCAAGGGCTGGGTGGCGATCGGTAGTGAGGTTGGTGGAGCGTGCAGGGTGGGGTGGTGGTGGGGTAGTGACTCTCTCTCTCTCTCTCTCTCTCTCTCTCTCTCTCTCTCTCTCTCTCTCTCTCTTCTATTTTCACCCCATCCTTGCTCGCTTTCTAGTTCGCGCTCTCCCCGGCTCTGTTCTTCTAACTTTGTCTTCCTGTGTCTAACTTTCTCACTGCCCGCTTTCTATACTCTCCCTCTCCTCCTTCATTCTATTCCTTCTTTGTTCAACTCAATGACGTAAAAACATTGTACAGAGACATACTTATGTGATAACCTAGGCGGCAGAGAAAGGGATTTCACATAATTATTGTGTCACAATAATATTTACTTAAATTTATCGCAGTACAGTAATGACATAATTACATCCTCTCTTCTATTGTTTCTTCTCCCTCTCTCATCATTTACGAATTAGAGACTTTACAGTAATAAAATTTATTCTCAACTTTATTATGTACTTTGTTTTGTACTCACGTCGTTGTATTCGGTTATTTCGTACGTTTTCAATCATAGATGGCGCTGCGCACCAAATTGGCCCAGCCGCTAATGCAGCGATAACCACGCCTCTAGTTCAGTTCTTGACACGCCCCTCGGGTTTATAGTCACATTTATCTAGAATGCATGTGTTACGGATTCTGAATTCATAGTTATGAAAGATAAGACCTGCTAGTAAAACTAGAGGCCTGATAACACTCGATAGGTTTCTTCAATATCCTGGTGTGCTTGTGCATCAAACAATTACCAACAGCGCATTATCCCGGCGTATAAGCAGATCAACATTTTGCAAGCATCATATTTCAAAAACAGTTCTTGCAAATATCAGTTCAACAAAAGATAATCCGTTTTGCAAATTATTCTAATCGTTTTCACATACTATCTCGGAATCGATCGGAGTAAATTACAAGCTAGGCGTTACATTTCAAAAATATAACTGGGGCTTTTAATTAGCTAGGTTCAAAACCGCCTCACAGATGTCGCTGCGCAGCAGTGGAAGAAACAGATATAACATTATATATATATATATATATATATATAGAGAGAGATATATATATATATATATAGATATATAGATATAGATATATATTATACATGGTTAATCTCAATCTCAAGCGAGACATCACACAAGCGTGTATGTCGGGCGTTAATCAACCCGATACATCACGATTACGTAAATCTCGGTGATGAGTAATTACACGCGATTAACGGATCAGGATTAGGATTAAACTCGGCGAGGGCGATGCCGGCCTATGGTATATACGCGCGCGTGCGGCACCAGCAGCCGCGTCAATAACATGCAGAATAACATGCAGTATGCACGGCCGCCGCCATTTATTCGACCCGAGCGCCGAGTGAAATCGATCATCCTATTGTAATTAGACGGACCGTAACGATTCTGACACGTACGCGCGAGAACAATAACACAGAGTAAGCACGTGAGCTCGAGCACGTGTGCGAAGAGAGATGAATTACACTGCGCTTATATGTGACATATACGTGCGTACGCGCACGCACGCATAAAAACATATAAAGTTATATATTTTATTGCGGCGCATCCGTTTGCAAATGGCGAAGTAGAACGGGATAGTGATGCCCGCGCGCGACAGCGAACGAGCGAGAAAAGGGACAAAAGATTCTAGAGTGTAGACGATAATGGGGAAATACGGCCAATAAAGACCGGCGAATATCCGCCACCGAGTGACGAAATACGTTAATAAATTTAATCGCTCGGGATGATAAGTAAATGCTGTCGGCACGTAATGACGATTTACGTGTCGGCAGCGGCAGGCGGGCCGCACGGCCGCACACTAACGCTCGCACGGACGCGGGCGGCTGGTCGCATTAGCTGCGAATCCACGCCTAATTTCAGCGCGTAATTTGTCACAAACGCCGGCGATCTTCGCCACTAACACTTTGATCTCTCATTCGCCGGCAAAGCACGATATCTGTGATAACCGCACTTAACGTTCAACTACTTCCTTTGTTTGGCTTGATGGCGATGATGGTTGGTGCACTCGAACAAATTGCGGACAATTTTGCGGCTCTGTGAAACATAAACTGTTAATTTGATACAACGCGCTTTTAATAAAATTTCTTCGACTATTTTCGTCGGGCCTCTAAAAGCACACATGAAACATTTTCCGCTGAAACGAAACATAAAACCGGTAAATGGCTAGCGCGAACGAGTGGCGCCACGACTACATTACCGACATTTTCTCTCGGCATGCAAAACAGCGACTGTCGAATGAATTTGCTTTGCGCCGAGAAAAACGTCGAATGCCATCCAGAAATGTAGTCACGACTGCGTTTAGCCACACACAGAAAGAAGCACGGGGGGGATGGTCGAACTGTTTGAGTTAATTCCGTAATGTGTATATAACCGACAATGCATATACATGACGTAGTCATTCAATCCCACCTATGATCGAGTTGTACATACAGCGCCATTAAACTGTCAGCGGGCGCGAGCGCGTGTGTGTGTGTGTGTGTGTGTGTGTGTGTGTGTGTATGTCTGTGTGTCTGTGTGCGCGCGCGTGTGGGTGTGTGTGCGCGTGTGTGTGTGTCTGCGTACGTGTGTTTTCGTTACATTTGCTCGTGAACTGGAAACGGCTCCGTTGGTTTTAAATCACGGATTTCAAAATGTTATTATGTGTAACCATGACGACACGTCGCGAGGAAAGTATTCCCATAGTGACGATGCGACCATTTCAGAGACGCGTTACGACTAACGGAGCAATGAATGGCAAAGGGAAAGCAAACAGTACCAGAAACCTATTATAGCGCATATATATATATATCTATGTGTACAACGAGAGAAACTATATAGCTTCGAACAGCTTTTCTGCGCTTTTTTCTATATGTTTGCAGTGTATGTGTGTGTACGCAGATTGAAACATGGTGCGTGATAGAGCGCATGCGTCATATAAACTAGTAGCGTATATTTACGCGCTTTTCTGCGACTTTTTAATGTTTGCAGTGTTTGTGTGCGCGTGCGTGTGTGCAGATTGAAACATGTATATGATCGGACGCCTGCGTCATATGGAATAGTAACGTATATTTACGAGAGCATAATATATATATCACGATGTTTTAAACTGCACAATCCTTCGCTACTATCGGCTTTTCTGCGCTTCTTTCTCTATGTTTGCAGTGTATGTGTGTGCAAGCAGATTGAAACGCCTATAGCTGCGCGCAATCGGATGACTGTGTCACGTAGAATAGTAACGGATACTTTCACGAGAGTGAACTACGCATGCGCGGATTGATGGCACACGAGATCGGAGCGATATTCGAAGAGTGTACCGATTTCCTCTGACAATACGGTGAGCCGTGTTCGCAGAAATGCCAGATTTACATACGGAAATGCACTGTGTATATACCACTTCGAAACCTTACCACATCGCTTGCAATGCCTTGTTATGCTACTGAGGCGAAATTTATCCTTTCAGGGCCGTGTAGGCGGAGGAAATTCCTAGGGGGGGGGGGACTCAACTGTGTAATGATGAGCGACCGGCGCAGCGCTTGATCGACGTCCATAGTGTGGTAGGGGTGGCCAAGTGACCAAAAAATCACTATTAACAGTTATTAGCACAGCTTCTTTTTTTTTTCTTTAAAACTAGGGGGGCAGCTGCCCCGTTGCCCCCCCCCACGCTACGGCCCTGCCTTGTACCTCAACAGTGTTGCTTGCCCCCTTGTCTACTGCTGTTTTCTCCCGCTGTAGCTACTTGCGTGGACTATATGTCTCTTCCATCCACTCTAATACTCGGCCGTATTGCGCGTGAATGCGTGCACGCGCGTGTGCGCATGCACGTACCAGCGCGTTAAGTGTAGCCCCTGGCGGGAGGCTGCGTCACCATGGCGACAGAGATGTTCAAAGAAAATGTTTCTGTTCTCATAGCTTCGTTTCATGCAGATAGATAAAACTCTCGCTTACTATACTAAAAACGTTAGTAAGTAAATAAGTAAAAAGTAAGTAAATAAAACAATGGTAGTTAAAACTAACCATACCATTAGCTATTATGGTTTCAAGCACCGCTCTTGAGCGCGCGCGCGCGCGCGTGTATGTGTGTAGTTATATAGCGCGTCTATACTTGAACCGACGTGACAGCACATGTGAAGGCTTTCCCAGTATAATGATCTGGTTTCCCAAACCGGTCTCCCTCCCTCCACGATTTCTGTGTGATTTTATGTGAAGGCTTCCCTAGTATAATGATCTGGTTTTACACGATTTCTTGGCTTCCCATCGTGATAGAGTGTGTACGAAAGGAGGGTATGTTTATGGTTCGTGTTAGGCCATTACCTGCTGTTTCTACTTGAATTAACTCGAATTTCGAAAGATGGCGACAAACTCTTAGATTTACATGGAAATTCGGAGCGGTAAATTCACCATATTCCATCATATTACCACGTCTCGAATTATAATTCCGCCGCGTACATATAACAATCATATTTTTTGCCGCATTCAAATCTTACACCACGACACGAATAATTATTGTCGGGTGGGAATCTTGCGTCGCGACGCGCGGAAGCGTGTACACGCGCGCGTGTATGAGCAGAGACGCGCGTATACGAGCACACGCACGTATATTCACACGCACGCGTGTATGAGCACACGCGCGGGTATGAGCACACTCGCTTATATATATATGCGCGTGTATAAGCGCACGCGTGCGTGTAGTAACACACACACGCGTGTATGAGCACACGCGCGCGTATATCAGCACACGCGCGCGTGTATGAGCACGCGCACGCGTCTATGAGCACACGCGCGTGTATGAGCACGCACACGCGTGTATGAGCACGCGCACGTGTGTATGAGCACACGCTCGCGTGTATAAGCACACACGCGTGTATGAGCACACGCGCGTATATAAGCGCACGCGCGCGTGTATGATCAAACACGCGAGTATGAGCACGCGCACGCGTGTTTGAGCACACGCGCGCGTGTATGAGCACTCACGCGTATATAAGCCCACACGCGCGTGTATGAGCACATGCGCGTATATATGACCACGCACGCGCGCGCATGCGCACACACGCGCGTATATAGGCATACACGCGCAAATGAGCGCACACGCATATATAAGCACACGTATATATAAGCACACGCGCGCGTGTATGCACACACGCACGCGCGTGTATGAGCACATACGCGCGTATATTAGCACACGCGCGCGTGTATGCGCACACGCACGCGCGCGTGTATATGAACGCACCGTGTTGTCGATGCCGCTGCGCTTGGTGCTAGCGAATCCGTCCGCCTGGCTGCGCGTGGCGTACTGGTCCGTGTACACGATCAACCTGACCATCACCTGAACGAGCATCGCGAAAAACAGGTTCCTGTGAATCCTCGTCCGATGCGACTTCAGCGACCTAGATAAAAAACAACAAAAACAAAATGGAAATAAATAAACAAAAAACAAAAACAAGCAAAAACAAAATGGAGATAAATGAAAAATGGAAATTAATACGAGAATTATAGTGGGTGGGTCGACAGGGGTTTCATCAACTTGGAAAACAAAGACAAAAATGGAAGTGTGGGGTGGTGGTGGGGTAGTGTGGTTGGGGGAGCGTGCAGGGTGGGGTGGTGGTGGGGTAGTGAGGTTGGTGTAGCGTGGGGTTGGGGGAGCATGCAGTGTGGGGTGGTGGGCGGAATAGTGAGGTGGTGGGTGGGGTAGTGGGCGGTGGAGTTGAGTGGATGAGGTACAGTCCCCGTCTGGAGAAGGAATCACTAGGAAGCTATCCATATATGACAAAATATTTGCAGTCGCTCATCCTCTGCGGGGCCATAGGCTGTGTGTGTGGGACATTTCTTCCGATGGAAAAAAAATTGAATAAGAAAATGACGAGATCCGCGGTCCCAAACCATGATTCCGCCTGAGTGCGTATAGCGTTAATGGCGTCTAAAGAACAGATGCATCCAGTAACGGCGATAATGTGTTTTGGTCGTACGGACGGCAGGGCCGTAGCCTCTGGGGGGCAAAGGGGCAGCTGCCGCCCTAGATTTTGGAGCAAAATTTAAAAAAAAGCTTAGTTAATAATCGTATATAATCCTAACCTGATTTTTTTGGTCACTTATATCCGTGAAAGCCTTGTCTCAGACCCACCCCTACCACACTATGGACATCGTTATGGACCCTCATCATTACACAGTTGAGTCATGAAATTTTGCCCCCACCCTACGAATTGGGTTAACCTACCTACGGCTTTAATCTGTAGTTTGTTGCTGTCACTAATGAAAAAGAGAGAGCAGGATGAAGGGATGGTGTCTATACGTATATTACAATACATCAATAGTTATTAGATAGTAACAATTAACAATCCCGCTAATGAGAGCTAAATAGCTTTAATTTTAACCTTAATTCAGCTCATTAAATCGAATCCCCTAGTTTTACATCAACCTTTCCCCTATTCGGAGTGTGAGTTTACCCCATCACCCTACAGCTCGAGGAAAATAGCCCCCACCTACACCAATAGAGACCTTAGTTACCCCGTTGCAGACCTGACCCCCTCCCCCTATGTCAGGCAAATCTCTGGTGCTACCTGACTAGACATTGTCTTACAGGTTTCTTTCCAGACTCAAAGCTATGCAATGATGCACAACAGCCTCTGAATCTAGGAGCCTATTGCGCCGCCACCTGTCGGCGGTGTTCGCTATTATTGCACGGAGAGCTAACGCTAAAATATTATAGTTGCGCAATAATACAATGAGAGTGCATAATAAATAATCTCCCATGTTGGTATGAATCGAGATCACGTGATCATGTGATCATGTCTGCCACGGGATGATATCATATAATATGAAACAAACTTCCCAAATCAGCTTCAGTTAGACATTCTCCCTTCTCGTTCCCTGTACGCATTCCTATCTCGAAACCATTTCGTAGAGAGATTTAGCAACGTCACGATGACATCCGCTGTGCGGCGAATAATATTTCAAATTAGCTTTGCAAGTAGCTTATTTAGCAATATTGCAACTTCGTTCGTTCCACGACCGGTAATCGTTAGTTTTGTTAGTCTGGAGGATCTTATATATATTTAGCTGTACCTACCTGGCTTGTTCCGCTTCACTCGAATGTGTAGCTCTCATCTTCGTAACGAGAACTCTGATTATATTCAGCAGGAATCCGATGTTTAACTGAAGAAAAAACAATAACAACGACAACGTGATGAAGGGATTTTCAGAGATTACCGTCTACGACTCTACGCGCCGAATTCACAATCGCAATTCCATTACATGCGCACTAACGATATGCGATTAGCATATAATATACACGAGCTCGTAATACATCACGCGGCAGACGTTACATAAATGAATCAAGCATATTCGCCCGCCTTCATTTTCCTGTGGCCGGTTTTTAGATGAATATAAACTGAAATATCTCTGAAATCATATTAAAGACCATAACTATCCAAATAGCAACGCGTGGAAAAAATATCAAAGAACAGATATAACGATGTGCTATTGCATGGCACGGGACAACAAAGCGTGCTTTGAAGTCGAGTTAACGTTCCGAAATAGATAAAAGACGCCTACAATAGATGTCGGCGACTATGAAAAAACACAATGACAATATCGATTCGTTAATTATGTTCAGCTGATGGAATCGTTATAAACTATTCCGTTGCTGTCGAATTAGAGAAGCATGGGAAATAGAATTGCTCTCACAGGATCACGATCATAATTAAATGCTGACGAATTTTAACGACGACGGCGACAACGATGGCGACAGCAATAATCCCCAATGGTAGTGATCAGCAAGAATTACTCACAACAACTCGTGCGATACCACCAAAACACTAATAATAATAACACCCCTATCTATCGGATCCACCAGAGAACGGATGAGAGCAAGATTGTCTATTAGACGCACAAAACACACCGGAATTAAAACCTGAATGTAAAATTTGTGCACATTTTATGTCGTACGTGCGTTGTTTCGTGTATAGTAACAAGTGAACAGCGGTTACTTACGATGATCACGGCTGTTCGGGGGCCATCCATAATCCAATATATCTTTAAGATGTTATAGCCGAACCAGCACCTAATCAAGCAAATGCGAAACGCAGAATATATTACGATAAAGATTGTCACGAACTCGAATTTATATAGATTGTTGTGGCGGTCATGCATTTGAGACAAGGATATATAAGCAACAAACGTAACCCCTTACGTGCATGAACAAGATCACCCTGTAGCATTCACACACAGCTTTCCGGGACCTATTCACCCGGTTATATTCACGTACATATAATATTCATATACTTATTTAATTAATATTATCATTTCAAATTTACACACGTGCATTTTTATATGTGCATATTTGCACCCTCTCTAATTAAACAACCTTAATAGAAAAATCTGTTTCGAGTCAAACAGCGAATCCATCGCGGCCGCTTTAAAGAGTTAAAACATTTATATTAAGACGTTAGAAAGGCAAAAAGACAGTATGAGTGTAGGCTGCTGCCTCATCACTAGGCCTGTAGCGTCACATCCAGGCAGCCGCACTGATTCACATACTATAGAACGCGTGCGGGCTACGGTAAGCTTTTCCCTAATCTTCTATCACGAAAGAAATGAGAAATCAAGAGGCTTATATCTAAGCAGATAGGATAATGAAAGGAACTCCGAGTAAGCTGTGCAGTACGCGCCTTCTCCTTTATTGGAAATGACGATAAGCATTGCTCTGACGTAACAGTATAGAGGTACAGCAGTACCCGTCTACGATTTCGTTTGTTCGTCTTATATTTGTAGCATTTACTATTGATGTGTATATCTTTTGTGTGACCGTCTTTGACCGCACTTCGAACAAGAGCAATCGGAGATAGCAAACCTGCGCCGCAAACAATCCCTCCCATCTTGCGAGTACACCCAATTATAGAGTTTGATGGAATTTTCAGTTTTGATTTTGTTTTTAGGAAGTGTTGGGTTCATTTTGACTTTCTGATAGTATGAGCTTTGCTTGCTGGAAGCAATTTAGTTTACGTTTTGGCAGTCGGATTCAGTTTCACGCACCGTCCGAAGTCTTCCCCACAAAAAAATCCTGGATCCAGATCTGGAACCGAATCACCACCAAAATTGAATCGATTGGTTATTGGCCCAAGACAAACCCGTCCAAAACATTTCATAAAAATGCGTCCGTAACTTTTTGAGATATCCTGTTGACAGACAAACAAACCAACAAACCAACACACAAACTAACAGGGGCAAAAACATAACCTCCTTGGCGGAGGTAATTAGCAGTGCAAAGGTGGAATCGGGTAAATGTCAGTGCGTTCTGTCACGTGTACGGGTACTAGGATATTTTCGTCATCAAACAATAATCAAGCACAGAAGAGAATTCTCTAGAGAAGTTTCCTAGTATACATAACCCCAATCTCCGGCTAGTTAGAGCGAATAATGCTGATATTGATATAATATATAATAATGTTTGTATTCCACCCGTACTGTGTTTTTTCCCGTCCCCTCTTCCACCCATATTAAGACACCTAACGTAGATCTTTTAGATCTGAAACAATTTTGGAAAAAAATACCATAAACTATTTATATTCTCTATCTCATACAGCACGCATTCATGATCTTTCCGCAACTATCTCTTGTATATTGTTTAAAAGTATTATCAGTGATCTTTTAGATCTGAAGCAATTTCGGAAAAAAATATGACAAACTATTTGCACTCATCTTCCCCCAACTGTCTCCTGTATATTGTTTAAAAGTATTATTAGTAAGCTTAAGTACCTTAGTAAAGTATAAAGCTTTCGTCCATAACACGGATCAACCAGAATATATGATGATAATACGATACTTACACTTGGTTGGGGTTTAGAAGTCCCTGTACAACAGCCCATATGTTTGTGATGACTGCTGGAACCCCTGAAAATACCAACCAGCAAAGCATGGCATTAAACATCAATTAATTTGTCTTTTTCTTAATTTCAAAGTTTTCGCTCGTCCACTAACGTGATTATGCGATATCATCTGCTACGTGACTTTAAAAAAATCGTTACGTTACGTTCTAAAAAAAAATCAATTAAAAACGAATCTAATATTCTAATTAAAAAATCCCATTAATTTGCATACAGTTAATTAAGAGCTTATTATTATCAATAGGCAATATATTATTATTATTTATTTATGCAAAATCATTCCGTACCCCATCCGGCCAGATAGTAGATGACGTAGTTCGGTTTACTAGAGAAGACTGCAATGGCGACCATGTTGTGAAGAGTAACTCCCTCGAGCAGAAACCACATGAACATGGCCGTCTTCGCATATTCTAGCAGCACGTAGAAGGACTCACATAATATTGCCTAAAACAAACGAAGGAGATTTCGTTGATTAGTCGTTGAAACGAAGGATTACATATGGCGATAGACATTCGTGGCTAACCGTGGAAAGTTGCGCACCACTACATTTCAGCAGTGAAGCGTGAGCGATGGTGTGTGTGTGTGTGTGTGTGTGTGTGACGTGCGTGCGTGCGTGCGTGTGCGTGAATGTCTGTTTGCGCGCGTGTGTGAGCTCAGCCTCGCAGTGAATTATAGGACTCTTTGGTAATTCAGCCGCGTAACGTTCGCAATAAGCTGGCCTTTGGAACGCGGTTTAAACCCAATTTAATATACAGACAGCCGCCGACGACGGCAAACACGTGATGCTGCCGACGTCATCGCCTATAATGACGCTATACACGAAGCCATTGCGTAAGCATTGAAGCAGTCGTAGAAATGTACACAGAGACGAATTCGTAACTAAAAATAAAACACCCAAATAGTGTGAATATCTATAGAAGCACTAGTCGGGATAATGGTCATCAATCTCGGCCTCTGTAGAAGGGAGAACGGGGAGGGGGGGGAGGGGGTTATTCCAAGTATCACAAGTAGAAAATGTGCCACATCCCAGATGAACAAAATTACAATTCCCAGTTATTTTCTATCCGAATTTTTTTTTCTTTTAAATACATACGGTATTTCCCGATTCCAGTACAATTAAAACGGTCCAATATCGCGTCCCCTAAAAATAACCGTCTCCTCCCCTTCTCTGTGATACACACTACCGATACCCGTGAATGGTGACAGCATGCGCTCAGTATCGGGTGTTCGCTCGTGCGATGATCTCCCTTCTAACTGACACTAATCGCTATTTAACACCAACCCGTTCGCACGTATTATGCTCGACAGCTACGGATGACGTTCGCAAAACAATAAAAATGGCCGAGCTCACCGCGCGCGACGACGCGGGTGATCGGCGAGAGGTAGAAAGGAGAGGTAATGCTGAGCCACTCGCCGCGTTGTTTACACTGCGCATTGAATGCAGCGATGCGGGGCCATCGTCGGGGAAAAAGCCTGCCGCTTAATCCCAAATGATCGCTGATCACCGTGTGTGCGGAGTAGAGAGACGTGCTCGCCTGCATCCCCCGCAAACACTGTTAGTGTCACCGTGACGCGGTACACATCGCAGCAACGCGCAGACGAATAGTAATCCACTATTGATTTAATAGTAGTACTAGATCACATCGTAGTAGTGACGGAAACGTTATCCATGAAAAAACAAATGTGTCTTTATTTACTCCCGAACTCCTATCACAACGGATATATATATATATATATGCTAGGAATAGATAGAACAATAGAAACAATTTTCGATGGTTCGATTAGGTCTCCGTTACGCAAGACATGCAGTAATCGGTGTATATAGGCAATAGAACGCGTAGAATATATGCGTGCGATGGCACACGCACTACGCTGCGCTGCCTTCGCTGTTCAGAATCGGAGCAGCTCTTTGCGTTAGGTTGTTAGCGCACGTGACGGCAACGTCAATGAATCCATCGATGAGTCGCCTTACAGGGACTCGCGTGTGGGGGGGGGGGGGGCGTTAATCACTTATACACCGCAATACGTCGTTACCAGCAAACATCGTGCTGTGAGTCGTGGTCGACGAGTTTCTCCGGCAGCTAATTCGTTACGGCTTTAAGCCGTAACGTCTAATGCGCCGACTGTAGCACGCGCCATGCGCAATAACTGCAGCTCTTTGTTATCGCTTCCCTCCAAAATAATGAGTTTAATCTGGACGATAACGACTAATACCTGCAGTGTTAGGCATCGAGAATATTTTAAAGGATTGGAATCAGTTTGCTGTGTAACGCAAGGTTGAATATCTCGTATAAGATCAAAAGGGCGTCGTTTATCTCAAGTATATATATTTCGCAGATTACCAGTTTTCAACAGCTTTTCGCAACGATTCCTAAAATTAAGTTATAAATTAGATCAATTAGAAATGTCACCTCGAATGCGCTAAGTAGTAGGCATTCATTAAGGCAAAGATAGCAAGGGAACGTGTGAAAGAAAACGTGTATAATATCACAGGTACGGAAAGAAGCGATCGTATAGTGATGGAATAAGATGTTCAATATAAGCTTGCAACGTATAAGAGTCTGTGACATACTATTTTAAACATGGACGACGAGGTAGACAGACACCCGTACAACAGCTTAGGCAGACAATAGTGTGACATTACGCAGACTCTCTGACTAGTGGACGATAAGTGTGAAATCATCATACATGTACGGGCATATTACTATAACTCTTGATGCTATATATACACCTCCTCCCTCAACGAGGAATTTTTTGGCTCGTGTACGGCCAAATTTTCTCTCCGTTTTTGTTTGTTCTTTCCCTCATTCAGTTTCGTCACACTAACATTGTTATGTTCCTTGCCTTACCATTCTCAGAGTTTTTCCCTTATCGCGATCTTCTTCCTATCACCTCTCCTGTTTTTTATCCTTTTCTGTTGGCACCTCCTCTATCATTTTTTTTCAAGGAGTGGCGACTATGTCATTTATATATCTACCTATTTTTAACTTTACACTGAACCCAATAAAATATTATCGACAACACAAATAAAGATTTTCGCTCACTTTGATCGAATTCACTTGTTCTTTTCTAAAATTTATGTGAATTGACATCATATGTAATTTAATTCGTCTGAATTATAGCGCTTCAATGAGCGCTCCAATATCACTTATAGCGCAGCTGCCATAACAATGAACTCTAATCTAAACTGCTTAATACACACCGTCCGGTTTTGCGATCTCTACAAATTATATCTACATATACATTGCAATCGTAAACGGCGTGACGTCACGAGTTCTGACGCAGACCATTCGAGCGTCCGAGCGTGGCCGTCTGTCAGATAGACTCAGCACACAAAACGTACACCCACCTACGCTCACAAAAGGCAGCTTTAAAAAGGTGCCAAACAGATTATCGAAGTTATAGGCTGCTGGAACATCGCTCAGTAATCGATCGAGCGACGGGCTGGCCCGTTTTGTTTGTTACCAACACCTCCACCCTCGCGACTGCTGCGAGCGCTCTTGAGCATGTAGCGGCCGCACGAGCGCACTGGCGCATGCGTCGAGGGTTCGCCTAGGTGCTTAACTTGTGCACTGCCTGAATGGCAGATACTATCGCTAGAGGTGCTTGCGAGATAGGTGGCTGTTGAAGACCGAGAAGCATTTTCATGTGTAGTGCCATCGAAGAAGACCGTTCGCGACACATTCGTCCTCACCCTCACGGAGGGACGACCATGTCATTAAGCCCAAGCAATACTCCGTTCTCCGTCACCGATATACTGAACCCGCTCGCCGAGGAGAACTACCGCAAGACGTTCGAGTCGGCGATCCCGCCGCTGATGCCAAACTACCGGCCGACGATTAACTCCAGCACCCACCACCCGCGACCAGTCGTCGCTGACCGTGAACAACATGAACGTTCCCGTCACGTCGCCCTAGCACATGCACGTTGCCGCAGCTGTCGCATCACTCGTCGTTTCCGTCGGAGTACTGCAACGGCGCCGAGCTGTCGCACTACGGCGACCGACGGCCTCGCCGTGCGACACTCGTCGACAGGATGGTACACGCAAACCCCGACCCGAGATGCAGTAAGTTGTCTGGAGAGAGAGAGGGAGAGGTAGAGGAGAGGGGACAGAGCGAGAGAGGGAGAGAAGTGCGCTGGGGTACTTAAAAATCCCGACTCGAGATTTGCCAACTAAGTTGTCTAGAGAGCGAAGTAGAGGAGAGGGACAGAGAGCGCTAGAGGGCGAGATGAAGAGGTGATAGAGAGAGAAGGGGTAGAGAAGAGGGACAGAGCGAGAGATGGGGGAAGAATTGGCGTGAGAGTACTTAAAAACCCGATCCGAGATTTTCAAGTGAGTTGTCTAGCATGTGGCGACACGAGAAAGGAGAGATAGTGAGAGATGAGACGGGCACCAGAGAGAAGGGAGAGAGAACGCAGCGCGCGTGTTACTTAAAAACCCCGAATTATACCCCTATAGCAAGTAAGTATGTGACTAGAAAAGAGAGAGGATAGAGAAGGGATAGAAAACGCACGAGAGAGGTAAGGAAGATAAGGAGAGAGGTGGGAGAATCGCGTGGGATATTGACAACTCCCCCGACAGAGATTCACAAGTGTCTAGCAATGCGACGAGAAAGATCAGATAGGGGAAGAGGGAGGACTAACAGAAAACGCACACGAGAGAAAGAAAGAGAATGGCAGAAAACGCAGCGCTGCGAAGCGGTGGGGATGTTTACAAAACCTGACCCAAGATACGCGAGTATGTGTAATCCAAACGAGAGGAAAGGAGAGAGAATGGGGAGAAAGCGACAAGGCAGGGGTGGGCGTGTGATCAGCGCACGGTGTTTATATTTCGGGTACGTAGCCACCGCCTCGAAGGTACGGCCCATCCGGTGTGCGCTGTACACAATTACGCCACTTCACCACCTCCTATCATAAATCTTAGTGTACGTGTAATTTATATCTATTTATCTATTACTGATTATTTTATGTATGTACTTATTATGATAATCATCATGGTCGTTGTTAGATAACGTTGAGACGATTCTGCAATCGTCGTCTGTCGGATGAACACCTTCCGCTGTCACGTGTGGTTTAATGTGCGCTCTCCTATATATGTAACTATAATTTATTAACACGTAGCATTGCTTGCATTCTGCCCCCCATACGTGAAGACTACCTAGCGGTGTCGCTGGCCGAGAGTGCATGCAGAGCACGTAGACTCGAACTCGCGAAAAAATACCTGCAATTAGTAAGTGCTTATCATCGCTCAGCGGGGGCGGCGATGAGATCCGCCCGATAACAGCCGATGAACCCTAACGCTAAAGACACCATCACCGATCATTATAATAAAATCGTGCCCGAATTTATATGCAACACCGAAATACGCGCGTGTGTATAAGTGACCCGCGTGATATTTCACTTACCTTTCCGATGATGGCTATGCGCCGCCGGCGTAAGGATACGTTTACATAACAATCAACAACCGAGCTGTTATTATACGGGTATCCATTCACAGCAGACTGCACATATTCGTTCGTCTTCAATTATACAGTTTCTACACGTGACTGCATCGGCAAATCTCTCATGTCGGGTTAGATTAGACGTGTAGGATGAATTATCAACATCGCGAGTAGTACACCGGCCGTAATTAATTAAAATCTATTCAACGATCTCCTCACATGGACCGTAATGCTATCCCCTGGGTTAAGTGTCCAGACATTACGTCGATTAAACTGTAGGCTGTAACACTGTTAATTTAGAAATGCAGGCGTCAGGTCGCGTAACTGTCAGATCGGCGTCAATGACAGATCATAATACGGCACTTTTCGCCAGCGTTCGCAGTAAAAATAGTGGCAGAAGATTTTCCCTCGGCGCGTTTGTACGTTATCACGTTTTGCGCGCTTGCATGCGAACCAAGGACGCCAGCGTGAATCAGCGTGAGCTGAACACGCGCTGCGATGAACGCACGGCAGACTCAAACCCGGGTTCAAACACGGCGTGAAATGCAGACACGGCTAGCGCGTACAGACGGCTGCCTTCGAACCGGCCGACTAAAAAAAGGGGCAAATTCACAAATACCGTTCATCGTCACGTTA